GTTAATTTGTTTATTAATAACTTGCCTTATTTTATTATCAATTACTTGCGCAAGTTGATACGATGATTACCTTATTTTGCCATCAGTTACTTGTCTTAAATGGTTTTATACATTTTATTAACTTTGTACTCAAATATGATTTTATACAATTTATCATATTATAATATGTATATCCTATAAATTCATATATGTAAACTATATATTTTTTTGTCATCTTTTTTTTTTGTCATCATAAACTATATAGTTCTATGTCAATTATAATATAACTTTATAAAATTTATCACATAATAAATTATGTATATAATTCAGAGTTAGGATATGATATGTGTAACATTTTTGTATAAATTTCTAATACTAATGTTAGAATTAAATCGGTTAAATACAAATTTCTATAATAAATATAAGTGATAAAACGTAATTATTATATATTTCTATAGATTTACAATATATCAAAATCAAAATTATTTATTATTCTTTAATTTTATAACCATATTATGGTATTAGGAAAGATATACCTTGTTGGTAAAGGCTTTTAATTAGTTAATTCGTTTATTAATAACTTGCCTTATTTTATTATTAATTACTTGCGCAAGTTGATACGATGATTACATTATTTTGCCATCAGTTACTTGTCTTAAATGGTTTTATACATTTTATCAACTTTGTACTCAAATATGATTTTATACAATTTATCATATTATAAAATGTATATCCTATAAATTCATATATGTAAACTATATATTTCTTTTTGTCCTCACAAACTATATAGTTCTATGTCAATTATAATATAACTTTATACAATTTATCACATAATAAATTATGTATATAATTCAGAGTTAGGATATGATATGTGTAACATTTTTGTATATATTTCTAATACTAATGTTAGAATTAAATAGGTTAAATACAAATTTCTATAAAAAATATAAGTGATAAAACATAATTATTATATATTTCTATAGATTTACAATATATCAAAATCAAAACTATTTATTATTCTTTAATTTTATAACCATATTATGGTATTAGGAAAGATATACCTTGTTGGTAAAGGCTTTTAATTAGTTAATTCGTTTATTAATAACTTGCCTTATTTTATTATCAATTACTTGCGCAAGTT